CAAGGGGATTGAGGTCCAGGAACCTAGTGGAGAGGCCTGCGCTAGCCGGGAAAATCCACAGTTCCTCCATAACAACGGGAGAAAAGGCGGGTGCGTGGGTGAACAGAGGTGGGGACGGGGCTGCAGATGGTCTTATCTGATGGCTTCTGTTTCCTCAGTGAAATAGGAAGCAGCTTCAGCAGCTAAAAGGGTGGATGAGGGAGGAGGTGTTAGAGCTTGAAAGAGAGAAGAGAAAGTGTGAAATAGTCATCTAAGAGATTGGAAACGTAAAGGCCCACTTGATGATGGTTGTCAAGAATTTAAAGTGATACCAGTCCACACAGTTTTGTGGGGTTTTTCCTTCTCCAAATGTGTACAGCTAACTTGGGTACAAATACAAAGTAGGTAGAGAGTTGGGTTTAATTGGGATTGGGTAGTCATGTGAGTATGTCAGAGAGGAGAGAAAGGGGTATGGGGGGTGAGAGTGCATGTATGATGTCAGTGTGATGGTGGCTCTGAAATCTAAGCCATGCCAGGAGAGAAGTGAGGACATGAGGTGAGGGACAGTTCAGGGGTGACAGGGCCAATCTTTAGAGATCCCAGTGGAGTCAATGAATCATTGGAACCAGAGAACTGCTTAAGAGATCATGGAAAGATATGAGGTGAGCCAAGCGTGGTGGCTCACACCTATAATCCCAGCACTTTGGGAGGCTGAGGTGAGAGGATTGCCTGAGCCCATGGGTTCGAGACCAGCCCTGTCAACTTGGTGAGACTTCATCTCTACAATAAATACAAAATTAGCTGGGTGTGGTAGCGTGCACCTGTAGTTCCAGCTACATGGAAGGCTGAGGCAGAAGGATCACTAGAGCCCAGCAGGTCGATGCTGGGGTGGCCATGAGTGTGCCACTGCACTCCAGCCTGGCTGACAGAGTGAGACTCCAGCTCAAAAAAAAAAAAAAAAAAGATACGAGGTGGTGTTGAAAGAGTGAGGTCTTAGACTTGAGATTTTTTTTTAGGTGGCAGAGCTACTAGTAATGACAAAGCTAAGGTATGGCCCTGAGTGTGGTGGCTGGAGTGAGTGGAGAACAAGGTCTTTGCAGAAGATGACCTCAAGGAACTGCAATGCCAGGGTGCTGGCAGCTTGTAAATACTGAAGCCACCAACAATGATGACTCTAGTAGTGGTGGAAAAATAGTGAGTTGTGAGCCAAAATCTCCAGTGAATGAGAGGCAGGAACAGGAGAATAGAGGAGGAGCACTTGCTTTAAAGGAGCTAGAGAACTTTAGGGAGGAAGGAGCGATGAGGAGCAGGGACTGCCCATCTCTCCTGTAACTTCCGAAGTATGTAGGCTTTGGAATTCAAAGCAAAAACCAGCCGCCGCTTAAGGGGAATTCTGGAAAGCAGTGTTCTGAGGGTGAGTGAGAGACAATCTTGCTCCAGTGAATGATTTGATCAGGCTATTATGCCACAAGACACTCCTGGCACACAACACACACACACACACACACACACACACACACACACACACACACACACACACACATCATGCCAGCCCCTGCTGATGCCAGGTCTACAGCAGGGTTTTTATTCATAAAGCCAAAATAGCACTGGGAAGCATGTAAATGGCCCAGGAGTCAGAAGACCTCCTAGCCTCACTACTGTCTTCAACATCACCAATGTGTGGCCAGACCAGTCAGGGTCACTTCACTTCAGTCTACAGATAGGAAAGATGAGGCATGGGAAGTTAAGTAGCTCAACAGTAAGTGGCAGGGATGATCACTGTGACTTCTGACTCTTCCCAGCCCTGTGGTTTTTGCACTAACCGGTTTCTCTCAAGTTTCCAAAACAAGATTTATCCGGTGAAGTCTTTAAAATACAGATTCCTGGGCTACACCTCTGGAGCTATGGATTCAGCAAGTCTGGGGCATGGCCCAGGAATCAGTATTTTAACAGCTGCCCCAGGTGATTTTTAACATGACAGAAGTTTAGAAATGCCTCAGATCAGCACACTGTCTTCTCTACTGACTTATTTTGTGCAGTTGAGAAGGTTCCCTCAATTTCCCAGTCTTTGGAATGGGCACTGAGACAATGACCCATTGTCCTGCACTAGTTGCCTAACATCTCTTCAATGCAACAACTTAATTTAAAAGCTGGAGACCCAATTTTCCAGACAATGAATGGAATAGAAAAGTAATACCAATACTTTATCAGGGTTTGAAAGGGGGATAAATGTGCAGGTCATATTTTGAGGAGATACCCATCCCATCTTCATCACTTACCAGACTGGAATGAAGTCAAATTATTGAGCCCCACCAAGCCTCAGTCTTCCCACCTATAATATGGTCAAAATTCACACCTACCTTATAATGTTTGGCAAGTCTTGGAAATATTGTATGCAAGTTTTTTTTCTTGTAATATTTGTCAAGTTGGAATTAATACAGTAGTTGCTGGTAATAGAAGTAATAATAATGTGACTGGGCATGGTGGCTCACACCCGTAATTCCAGCACTTGGGGAGGCCAAAGCAGGAGGATTGCTTGAGGTCAGGAGTTTCAAACCAGCCAAGGTTTGGCTGACCTAGGCGAGACCTCATCTCTACAAAAAAAAATCAAAAAATTAGCCACATGGCATGCACCTATAGTCCCAGTTACTCAGGAGGCTAGGGTGGAAAGATCAACTGAACTCAAGAGGTCAAGACTATATGGTGAGCCATTGCATTCTAGCCTGAGTGACATAGTGAGACCCTGACTCCAAAAAAAAAGTGAGGTGAAGAAGTAATAACAATGGAAGTTGCTGTTATTGAGAGTTCCTAATCCAGTTCTGATCATTCTATAAGCCAGACGAGAGAATCTGAGCCCCCAGAATGAGTGCTCATTGTAACTGCTATTATCAGTGGGCTTGGGAAACCCTGGAGAGGTCATTCCAATCAATACACTAACATTTGCTTTGTCCTCATGCCTCACGCCCATGTTGACACAAGTGGCCATTAGAGGACGGTGAACCGCGGCAGAAGCAATGGGCCGGAAGGAGGCGGCAGCACGCTGGATTTGGCACTTGAGGAGATAGTGTTTGAATCAATTGCAGCTTGTCATTAATTCTGGGATAAGGTTGGGTTCAGGCCATGTACATTATTGTTCTTGGACCCACCCTCGGAAACAGCGTAGGATTCCCAGCTCAATAAAGGGGTTGCTCTCAAGGTCTCAAAAGCTTCTCATTGATCTCAACAGCAAGTACCGCTGCCAGCAAAAATTTCACTGTGTGATTCATGCTGTGTGGTAGGGAAATGTCAAATACCCTCTTCTCTGGAGAGGAAGGAAAGCCACACAACATTAGGTTAAGCTGAACTTGAATAGAAGTCCTGCTCCTGAAATTCTAGCTTATAGCAATTTCTCCTCCTTCTGAAAAGTGATCAAGATGCAAACAAAACAGAAGGGAGGACTTGCTTTCAGTCCTATCTGCCATTAAGGTGACCACTGTTCACCTAACTTAATTTTTCTCTAGACTAAAAGTAATTAACAATAAAGGGTTATTTACATGATAGTATGTCTATATGGTGGGATATTGTGAGTAGTTAAAAGTGATGCTGGGATCTCTGTTGTAAACCTGAACAATATTAGACCACAAAATATTGAGTGAAAATAGCAGGGTAAAAAACTGCATATTTAGTAGTAACCCATGTTTGTAAGGGGGAAAGTAGGTGTGTGTGTGTGTGTGTGTGTGTGTGTGTGTGTGTGTGTGCTTTTAAAATGACAACACTTAAAAATCTAACAGTGGGGAAAACTTAAATAAAATATGGTACACTCATACACCGGAATGTTAACTGACACTAAAATTTCATTTTGGAGAATCTGTAGCACCACCATGAAGTACATGATGCAGACATGCTCTCTCAATGCCACTCCAGTTCTTTCCTTCCTAAACAAGGGAGGACTATGTGATCTACAGCCTGTTACAGCGTGAGTTCTACAGGTGACCGGACCTGATGAGCAGATCCTTCTGCTGCTATTTCTGCTGCCGCTACCAGGTCTCAGATAGGTGTGTCCACGAAGCCCAGGCTAACACCTTGCGCTCCAGTCAATGCAAGAAGTCTGTAAGCCACTCGCTTCTGAAATAAATGCCAGGCATGGTGGCTCACACTTGCAATCCCAGCACTTTGGGAGGCTGAGGTGGGATTGTTTGAGCTCAAGAGTTCAAGACCAGCCTGGGAAACATAGCAAGACCTCGTCTCTACAAAAAATAATAATAATAATAATAAAAAAATTAACCAGGCACAGTGGTGCATGCCTGTAGTCCCAGCTATGCGGGAGGCTGAGGTGGAAGGATCGCCTGAGCCCAAGATGTTGAGGCTACAGTGAACTGTGATCTGTGCCACTATACTCCAGCTTGGGCAACAGAGTGAGTCCCTGACTCAAAAACAAGAAAAAACAAACAAAAAAACCCTGTTCTTAAAATCAAAATACTTGTAGGGAAAAGTTTATTACTGTGTTTGTTTATTTGTTTTCTAAAAAGCCAAGTACAAAACTCTTGATTTATAGCTTTATCACAGCACTATTGAGAAAAAAGACCTATACAGAAAAAAGACCCAAGGAAATGCAGCCAAAATACAACAGCGATTGCCTGTGGGCACTGAGATCATGGAAGGATCCTTCTCCTTTTTAGCATTTCTGTTATTTTTAATTTTTAGAAACTTAACGTTTCATAAGAAATGAGCAACTGTCACTTGATTGTCTCTGTAGAAGAGCAAGGAGGACTTTGTGGTCTCCTCACTGCCACCTGTGTGTCCCCAGGGTAGACACACTTGGGGACTGGAGGCCCTGCTTGCACTAGCCTCCTTTTCTCAACTCCCTTTCCCCACTGTATGTTTTCTTCCTTTTTCTATTTAATATGGGCATCCACGGATGCATCTTGTCTTTCAGATAGTTTCCTTCCTTCAAACCCTCTATCAGAGATCAAAAACTAACAAATTGTGATAATAGCAAATAATGGTGATCATAGTAACAATCATCCAGGCAGAGACCTTTAGAGTAACTAGCTTGGTTTATTCTGCATCCTGCATCCCTGAATGAAGCAAACTTTTGTCCTTTTCCATCTGGAGCTGTCAAGTGGTGGGATAATAGGATCGTGTGAAGCAGCAAACAGAAAGGCGTCTTCATTCTCAAGATGCAACCGGTAAGTGTGTGGGGGCCACTCAGATGGCTATAGCTTGCAACCATCCAGCCACTGTGCCAGAGTGTCGGAGAACTGGCAGTACTGGGACCAGGTGGGCCTGTGGAGAGGAAGGGAAGAGCTCCTTCAAGTCAGAACTCAGGACCTCCAGAGCTTCGCAGCCCAATCCAGGCCACTTACACCACCTGCTATGCCCCTGGAGCATTTGTTTGCCAATCCTGCTCTGGGCACATTTCTGAAGGCTTTTGTGTACCTCCAGAGCTGTCTCTACCACATCGTGCCAGTGCTTTCTCTGTCCTAGTGCCCGACTGCACCTTGCCTCATTCCATAAACCCCACATGGTGTGATGGAGAGGCTGAACTGTGAACTGTAAAATTTTCTGCCAGCCCTGAAAGGGAAGTATCCTTAGCTTCTCTGAAGTGAGCTTGGGAGAAGTCCTCTGACTTGCCAAGAGCTACACGGTGAGTCCTGCAGATTCTAGGCCTGCAGTTAGAATCTTGTTCCCTGGCCAGGGTCGCTTTTACCTCTCCATGTGTGTGTTTTACTCTTCGCCTTCCAGAATTCCTTCCAGCTTCTCAACCCACCTAGAGCAGCTGGATGAAGTTTCTCTAATCTTTTCTCCTAGTGCCCCTGAAAGTGATCCCCTGTTCTAAGTCCCTGTGCCAGCACCGAGACCTCAAGTTCTCCAGTCCCTACCTCTGGCTTGGGGCATCACCAGGCCAACAGCAGGCCGTTAGAAACACTGTGTAGTCATCTCACCCCTTGGCAGGCAGGCCTCCATGGATCTTCCAGGAGGTTCCCACAGTGGAAGAAGGGGCTGTGGTCCCCTGACCCCTCATAGTTAGAGAGCAGCAGGTAAAACACAAACATTACTATCTTCAGAAATCTCAAAGCTGAGCATAGCCCCAGGGTGAACACTGCAGAAGGACTCCTGGGTGCATGTGGAGTGTTGGTCTTCTCCCTTCTTGTCTGCCCCAACCCTGCAGAGCTGCCCAATCTGAGCTTTAGGAAATGCATGGCTGCCTGCTAGCTTAATAAGTGCTCGCTTCACTGGGAACTTGAGTGAGTAAGGGGGCCTTGATTAGCCTGGCTTAGCATATCTCTACTTGGTACCGTAAAATAAAGATGATTTTAGCTCATTTGTGCTTACCCTAGAGGGTCAGCCAAGCTTTCAAATTAATGGGAAGGTCAAGACTATGTATGAAAGGTATTTCAAACATTCAGAAGACAGTTAACGCTAATAATGGGACTTTCACTTTAAAATGCAAGCTATTAAGTTAGTGGTGAAAATGGGTTAATGAATAAGTGGTACTGAAACCAAAGACTACCACTTGGAATTATAAACTTGAATCTCTACATTTCACTTTTTATACCAAAATAAATTTCAACAAGGCCATAAAAACATAACAATTTTATTTTTAAATTTATTTAACAAAAATTTAAAATAGGGCTTATTCTGTGCCAGCACTGTTGTGATATAGAGAAAAATACGGCTCAATTTATGGACAACTGAAGAGCCTAAAAGACCTTTCTAAGGAGATTTCATATAAATCCAGCAGCCACAAAAGAAAAACTGAGGGATTTGATTCTGTGAAACTATAAAACTTTTGTTGGATGAATGTACCAAGTTTATTATACCAAAGTTAAAATACAAATACCAAACCTAAAAAAATAGTACATCTATGATGAACAAAGTAATAACCCTGATTTATAAAGGACACATAAAAAATCAGTAAGAAGAAAACACTTATCAACCCAATAAAAAAATGGGCTAAGAATATGAATAAGCAGTTCACAGAAAAATGGCCAACAAACCACATGAAAAGATGCTCAACTTCCTTTGTAATTTAAGAATACATAATAAAACAGAATGGTATAATTTTAAAACTGCACAAGTGTTTAACACCTCAGACTGGTGAGCTTGAAGGACACAGGCTCCCTCATACAATGTGGCTGAGGGACCACTTTTCCAAATAACAATTTAGCAACTAGTCTCTCCAACTTTTAAATGCACCAAATAGTCCCAACAAATACCCTGCCAGGGATTACCCTATTGTTACACTTGAAAGAACATAAAACTTACAGCAGCAAAATGCTTATGATAGAATTTTGAAACAGCAGCAATAGCAACAAAAAATGGAAACAATCTAAATGTTCATCAGTAGGAGACTGGCAGATAAATTAACTGAAACATCTATACGGTGGGATACTAAGCTATTACAGCAACAGCAGCAACCTTTAAGTAGTGCTATGCCAAGATTCATGAGTGCTATTAATAAGTGAAAAAAAGCAGACCAGATATGGTAGCTCACGCCTATAATCCCAGCACTTAGGAAGGCCAAGGTGAGAGGATTGTCCGAGCTCAGGGGTTCGAGACCAGTTTGGGCAACTTGAGCCCTCATCTGTACAATAAATCAAAAAATTAGCCAAGTGTGGTGGTGCGTGCCTGTAGTTCCAGCTACTCGGAAGGTTGAGGTGGAAGGATCGTCTGAGCCTAGCAGGTCGAGGCTGCGGTGGCCGTGAGCATGCCACTGCACTCTAGCCTGGGTGACAGAGTGAGACTCCAACTAAAAAAAAAGATTAAAAAAACAAGGTGCATGTCAGTGTGTACACTGGGATTTCATGTGTGTTTAAAACTATTTGGGCAGATATTTTTCTTTGCGTTATAAGACATATTAGCAGTGGTGACCTTGAGGAGGCTACTAATAAGAGGAAAAATTTTATTTTTCATTTAAAAAAAAAGCAATAAATTAAAAAATTAAAATGTTGTGAATAGCTTCTGAGTAGTACCTCCAAATGCAGCCTCAGTTTTTCAAAAACATTTAGGGGGCACCCATTATGTTCCAGGCACAGAACTGGATGCTGGAGATACAGAAGCAAGAAAAATAATCTCTGATTGAATTTAGTTCCAAAATATCGTGAAGACACAGAAAAAGACCAAAAAAGCAACAACAACAAAAAAGCCTCTGAAACAGACACACTTCCTGGGCCAGATTCTGAATGAGGTCTCCACTCCCCACAGGGTCCATGGGTTATGGAAGGCACACCACCACCCAGTCTTACACTAATGAAATGAGTCTACTTGCAGCCTTGCCATCTCCAACTGTCTGAACTGCTCAGAATCCCTGAGTCTGGATCCACAGAAGGACTGAACAGTCATCCTTTGGTTGCCTTCTATACAACCAGAACATAGGTCTCTATGTCATCCACTCCCATCTCTCTGAGTAGCCTGGTGAAACCTGAGGCTGGGAATAGCTCAGATCCAGGACAGCTAAGACCATGGCTAAGTCATTCTACCTCTTTGTGCCCCAGTTTCCTCACTTTAAAAAAATGAAGATAGAACTACTTTCTGCAGAGAGATTTGTGAGGATTAAGTGATGATGTGCATGTCAACACAAAACTGCACACCAAACCAGTCAAAAAATAATTGCAGCTTTATTAAAAGATTTCTTCTATTGTAAGAGGCTTCTATTCTAACACTCATCAATGATTTCTTAACTTTTGGGACAGAATACATTGATTGCAAAATAAAGCCTAATTTCAGAAATATTAAGTTCTGAAAAATTATACCATCTGGCACTTAGTAAATATGTCACTGTTCCTAGAGCTAACTGGAGATTACAAAGCCCAGAATCAACCAGGCAGGCAATTATGAGATGTTGAATAGGGGGAGAAAAGGCAGAAGATGATGGAAATTTTTAGTGGTACAGAGTCAAGTAGGTAATGTAGGCCTGCCATCATAAGTTGCATCCATGGGGGTGGTAGCAGTGCAAGCTGAAAATGCAGGGTTTTCATGTACCCTGTTGGTTTAGACTATCAGAAAGATCCAAACACTCACACCAGAAAAGTCTCCAGGCTCGAAATTGGGCCAAGATATGTTGCTCACTAATCTACCCCCAGGTGAACAACTGAGAAAAGGGTCTGGTCATTACTCAAGAATCATGAACAGAGACCAAAAAAAGTCACATAATATGCCTATTTGGCAAATAGTGAATATGGGCAACTTAGTCCTAATTCAAGGAAGGATAAACAGAATAAAATTAACATGATACCTATGGGGAAATATCACAAGAAAAAAAGGGGACATCATAATAAAATCCAGAGGACCATTCTTCTGAAAATGACATACTGCAGGATCCAGAAGTAAATTTTACAAAACTGACATTCTTAATAAGACATCACCAGACACAACCTCTGGAAAAAGCCATGAGAGAACAGAGATTTTTTTAAAAATTAAATTTTAAAAGGAAGATGGATAAGATAACAAAGAATTGTAAGAAATTAAAAATGTAATAACTGAAATTCAACAACTTATTCATGATTTTTAAAAAAACTTTAAACAAACTAGACGTGGGAAGGAAAACTCTTAAAATCTGATTAAACTTAAAGAAAACATCACATGTAATGATAAAATATTGAACTTCTTTACCCGTGAGATTAGGAATGAGACAAGGATGCCACCAACATCACTTCTATTCAATGTTTACTGGAGACCCTAGCCCATGCAACAAGGCAAGGAAAGTAAAGAAAAGATATTGTAGAGCCAAAGTGAAAGGTAAAACAATAGAATTTTTAGAAAAAAAAGAAGCATATCCTCAGGACAAAGGAATAAGCAAATATTTGTTTAAAAACAACCATAAAGGGAAAGTGAAAATAAATTAGACTATTTTAAAACTAAGAATTTCATTTATCAAGACACCATTTAAGAAGGTAAAATCCAGGCACATGGTGGCACATGCCAGTTGTCCCAGCTACTTGGGAGGCTAAGGCAGAAGGATCACTCATGACCAGGAGGTCAAGGCTGCAGTGAGCCATGATCATGCCACTGCACTCCAGTTTGGGTAACAGAGCCAGATCCCATCTCTTATTTATAAATAAATAAATAATTTTATTTTTTTAAAAAGGTAGTCCACAGAATGAAAGATATTTTGCAATATATGTATCCAACAAAAAACTTGTATCTGAAATATATAAATATCTCTTACAAACTAATGAGAAAAAGACAAATGACACAATAGAAAAGTTGACAAAATATTTGAACAGGGACTTCACAAAAAGGGATATCTAAACAGTCAACGAGATGCTCAACTTCACCAGGGAAATGCAAAGTAAAACTATCTTGCAATGCCACCACACAGTCATGAGTATAAACTAAAAACAACAAACACTGGTGAGAATGTGAAGCAACTGAAACCTATAACTGTTGGTAGCATTGTAAATGAATCAAAATTCCTTTAGAAAATTGTTTGGCTCGGTATGAAAAATTTGAAAATATGTATATCCTATGACTAGCAATTTTATTTCTCAGTATAAACAATAGAAATCCATTTACATATTCACCAAAAGATAAGTATAGAATGTTCATGGCAGTATTAAAAAAATAGAAACTACCCAAATGTCCACCAATAAAAGATTAAATAAATAAGTTGTAGTGTATCCATACAATGGAATACTATACAGCAATGAGAATGAATGAATTACAACTACATACAACAACATGAACAAATACAACATTGAGTGAAAGAAGTCAGACACAGGCCCAACCACCTGTAAATTTTAGAAGACTTTACTAACCAAATGCCTGGCTAAAGAGGAAATCAAATTTGTAGTTATTTTTGGCAACAAATATACAATAATCAAATATATAAAGAGTTCTTTGAAATAAATATGATGACTTGAATTTCAAAAATAGGCAAGGGACAGGGACAAAAAAAAATCACAAAAGAATATTAATATATAACAAATATAGAGGAAAACACCCTAATGTAATATTACAAAAGGTAAAAGAAGATAAAACAAAATTGTTATTCGCCTTTCAAATGGCAAAATTTTGTGATTGGTAAAGGTGCAGTAAATAGGCATTTTACCGATTGGGCTTGGTGGCTCAGCCTGTAATCCCAGCACTTTGGGAGGCTGAGGTGAGGGGATTGCCTGAGCCCACAGGTTCGAGACCAGCCCAGGCAACTTGGCAAGACCTCATCTCTACAATAAATAAATAAATAATTAGCTGGGCAGGGTAGCGTGCACCTGTAGTTCCAACTGCTTGAAAGGTTGAGATGGAAGGATTACCAGCACCTAGCAGGTCGATGCTGGGGTGGCCACGAACGTGCCACTGCACTCCAGCCTGGGTAATGGAGTGAGACTCCAACTCAAAAAAAAAAAAAAAAAAAAATAGACATTTTACTAAAACTTTCAATGGAAATATAAATTGATACACGCTTACTGGAGAGTCATTTCACAATATGCATCAACAATCTTAAATGTATTCAAAAACCTTAGGGGAATTTATATGAGAAAATAATAAGAGACTATTATAATAACCACAGAGATTTATTCTGAGGATGTTCAAGCTGGCATTCTATATAACTCTACACAAGACTTGAAAAAAAAGGTGCAACTCAAGGCAATTTGTCTGATAATTATTTCCTTCCTTCTGTGGCCTTGAGGTTGTAGAACTCGGTGGTTTTCTGCTACTTACTTTGCTGAGTAGGAGTCCGTTAGTTTGGGACTGCAGATTCAGCAGCCAAGATTTGGCCAAGGTTAATATAAAAGACAATGAGTGAAAATCATGGATACAGGCTATACAAAAAAATGTACTACTTACCATGCTCCCATCCCTTCTTTTCCTCTTACAATTATCTTGGCACATTCAATTGTCTTCTTTAAATTCGGATTCAGTAACTCTGTGGAGAAAATAAAGTGGAAGATACCACACCACTATGCGACAGCTAGGTTAGAGGGATGTCAGGGAAGGCACAGAGCATTCACACTAGACAGACTTTCATGAAATTCCAAGAATAAATCTATTCATAGATTTTTCTCAGACAGCCCTAAAAGGTAGCAGGATGTAGTCAACTTTTAACGAAAACCATTGTTTTTTTTCCTCGTAAGTCCTATAATAATTTTTCCATTAAAATATATGTATATATTCACTATTTCTTCTGTGCTAGGCAATATAAGTAGTAGTAGAGATCTAATGGCAAACACGATAAACCCATCCCCACCCTCACAGAGCCTGCAGTCACTTGTAATAAAATGGATACTTGGAATGATGGGGGAACACAGTTTGATGAGGAAGCATTTAGTAGGGGCACCTAAGTTAGACTTAAGCATCAGAGAAGGGTTACTGGGACAAGTGACATCTACAGGAGTAGGTAAAGAAAGGGGATTGAGGGAGTCACAGGAGGAACACTGTTCTAGGCACAGGGAACAACCTGTGAAAGGGCCCAGCAGTGTCTCTGAAGAACCAGCATGTTTATGTACTCATCCTTCCATTCCCTCTATGGAATGTGGAAACAAAGACCTCCCAATAGGGACTGTTGTGGTACCCTCCTTGCTGCCTGTACTAGTCTCCCCTTTCCCGAGTCGAAAAATTGCTTTTCCAGAAAACATCACGTCAGTACCCCTTGCCTATAAAACAGAGCCCCACATCTTTGACTTAGTCCGATTGTACCCCAACGTGCCTTTCCATTTCCACAACCTTACTTCCCACCGCTTTCCTCACAACTCCATCATTCAAAACACATCAAGGGCAAGAGACAAAGATGGCGCCCACCCTGAAGGTGGGTGCTCCATTCATGATACCCACAGCTTAGGGATCATGGGTGGTTTCTCCTCCAGCACTCTGTTCCTGCTCGTTTCCCAACCTGGATCTGCTCATCAAGCAGCACAGTTCTTAAAAGTCTACCACTGACTGCCTAGCCCACTGTGCTGTCTCCCCTCTTCTGAATAAAATTTCACTTTGATTCAGGATTTATCTGTTAAATACACACTTGTGTCCTAATCCCCACCTATCTTGAAAATTCTTTGAACAAAAGAAAGTTGTATTCATCAAGTACCAGGCAGTATACCAGACACTGCTTGGCACTTTATGTACACAATAGTGGATTGAAAACTCATAAAATCTTTGCAAGGTAGGTATTAGTATTATCTCCATTTTACAAAAAAGAAACCTGAGCCTCAAATCACATCACTTGTAAGAGGTAGAGCCAAGATCCTGCAGCCCCAAAGCCTGTCTCCTCTCTGTTCCTCACCTTGCCTGACAGGGAAAGGATGAGCCCTCTGAACTGCCCACGTGCTTAGCACAGGGTCCAGTGCCTACAGATGGTAAATTGCTTCCATCCTATTGAATCCTACTTGCCTGTGGGTACAAGCAACCAGGGAAGACTGTTTTCAACTCCTCTTAGAATGTCTTCACTTTCAGGAGTCCCTAGCTCATTCCTCTCCCTGGCAGTGCAGCCCTCTGGTGTCTCTACTTTCTGTGGAGGTCTCCATTGCACCTCCTCACCTTGCTCAGGTTCTGTCCACACGGTGATCATTAAAACTAAGCACTGATCTACAGGAATCAGCTGATGCCCAGGTTCATTATCTGCTTCAATTCCCACTTACCTATCTGGATTCTGGCTCCCCTTTTTAGCCACTAGGGATTTTTCCAACTTTCGCCAACTCGGTCAGGTACTATGTATGCATGTATGTATGCATTTTTGAGTCAGGGTCTCTGTTGCCCAGACTGGAGTGAGGTGGCACTATCACAATGATCATGGTTCATGGCATCCTCGACTTCCTATGCTCAGGCGATCCTTCTACCACAGCATCCCCAGTAACTGGGACTACAGGCACGCCCCATCGTGCCCAGCTAATTTTATTTATTTATTTATTTTTATGTTTTATTTTTTAGAGACAAGGCTTTGCTATGCTGCCCAGGTTGGTCTCAAACTCCTGGGCTCAGGCAACCTGCTCGCCTCAGCCTCCAAAAGTGCTGGAATTACAGGCATGTGCCACCATGCCCAGTCAGTCAGATACTTTAAAAGATGGCCTTTTTTTCCTTTTCTTTTTTACATTCTACCTAGCGGGAGAGTTTTAAGAATATTAAGTCCATCATATTTTCATCACAACGCCCAGTACCACTTCTATTACAGGTAGATAATTGGATTCTGGAGAGGCAGAGAAAGAGAAAGAAAGATCTATATATATTTCTTTTTTTTTTTTGAGTTGGAGTCTCACTCTGTCGCCCAGACTGGAGTGCAGTGGCTGCTTCCGGCCACCGCAGTGTCGACCTGCTGGGCTCCGGCGATCCTTCCGCCTCAGCCTTCCAAGTAGCTGGAACTACAGGCGTGCGCTACCATGCCCAGCTAGTTTTTTGATTTATTGTAGAGATGAGGTCTCGTCAAGTTGCACAGGTCTCAAACTTGTGGGCTCAGGCAATCCACTCACCTCAGCCTCCCAAAGCACGGGATTACAGGCTGAGCCACCAAGCCCAGCTTATATATTTCTTTTTAGAAGGATATAAATTATGAACCTACTGTATTTCTCTTTGCCTTGGCCACCAGGAAGCTCATGGTGACATTGACTATTCCATCATTCCATTTAAATTCAAGTTAAATTAATCTAATTAATTGTAAAGAATGATTAAATGATGTTTTTAATTTGTATGTTTCCCCAAATAGCCTGTGATTGTTGTAGTTAACTATGGTCCCTGCATGGTATTATCCTACCCAACCCTCACAGCAATCCTGAGAAGTAGTGAATGTTATCTCCACTTCACAGATGGAGAAGTTTCAGAAAGTGATTTGTACATGAGCTTGTGCTCATGTAGCTATTTCTTTTTTTTTTTTTTTTTTTGAGTTGGAGTCTCACTCCGTCGCCCAGGCTGGAGTGCAGTGGTATGCTCACGGCCACCCCAGTGTCAACCTTCTGGGCTCCGGCAATCCTTCCAAGTAGCTGGAACTACAGGTGCATGCTACCATGCCTGGCTAATTTTTTGTTTATTGTAGAGATAAGGTCTTGCCAAATTGCCCAGGCTGTTCTTGAACCCGTGGGCTCAGGCAATCCCCTCACCTCGGCTTCCCAAAGTGCTGGGATTACAGGCTTGAGCCACTACACCCAGCCTCATGTAGGCCTCATGTTCCTCTATTAATGGAAGCAGCTGGGATTCCCACTGATTTCCTGCAGGCTTCCTGTACCTTTCCCTCCTTGAATCCAGAAACTTTCTTACTTCCATCTGGAGCCTGAGGCCGATCATGGGGCCCAGCGCAAGCTGGTGCTGCTCCCCAGGCCACAGGAGAAGGCTGCAAGCCTTTGCCCCAGCCTCTCCACTGTCTCCTAAAGACACTGCCCAGAAGCCGCAGGCTCTGGAATGGATCTCACTCATCAGGGTGGAGGGAGGTTTGCTCATTAGGGAGGCCCTGAGGATCCCGGGGTGCTTGGGCCCACCTCCTGCAGAAAGCTCAGGTGTCAGGGAGACCTGGCCCAGCTGTGCAGCCTCCTGGGTTAGCCCCAGTATGGGAGCCACATTGCTGGGGCTCCGATTCTCTCAGCACTACCACTCTCAAGCTGTGTGGTCTTGGGCATATAACCTCCCTGGGCCTCAGTTTCCCCATTTATAGAATGGGGATAATAACAGTAACCTAACCTGTGGGGGCCATTGTGAACATTAGATGAATTAATCTTGTGAAGAGCTTAGAAGAGTACCCTAGCAGTTAGCAAGCACTAGAATGACAATTCTATAAAGCCTGGCATTTAGTAGGTGCTCAATAAATGCTTATAGAATTAATGAATTCTGGCAACCATCTCCTCTTGACCACAGGTACTTGGAACCCCCTAAGAGAAGTAGGCAAGCTCCCTTGGGGATGACTGGCTCCTGTCTCCTCCCAGTGACACTTCTGCCTTTCAAAGTAGCACATCTGTCACCTTGAAGAAGGGAGCAATGGCTGAGCATGGGTGACATCAGGCCAGCTGAAGCCCTCTGCTCCCACCCTTCAAGTTGGGATGGGCTCTGATGCCTGCAGCCTCCTTTCAATGTCCCAACACTGTCTCTGCCCATTTGGATGTGGGTCTCCATTGCCATATCCCAGGCTCCATCCCAGACTAGCTTGCCTGTCTCACCGCAACCCTGTCTCACTGTCTACCTTGGCAGTGTTGGGCTCAGGCTGCCCGGGACCCTGCCCTAGATACAGCTCAGCCCAGCTCTTGCCAGCTCCTGCCAGGTTCTCCTCCAAGCTTGTAAACTCTGACTATTGGGAAGGCAGACCTCTGAACATGGTGCCACGGCCTCCAATGTCTGGTGTGGAATGGAAGGAGGAGACCTACCAGAACATGACATGTGGCAGCGGTTCCTTCCTTGGTCACACCAGTCACTGTTGCGGATCTGAAAGAGGCCAAAGCCAGTGGAGCCATCTTGTGTGTTCTCGTAGACAGCTGTGGGATTGAACTTGCTCTCAAAGTAAGCCAGGCACACCCCTAAGATGGAACAGGAGGTGTGTGGTTCTGAGAATAGCTGGAGTTGGGGATGCCAGGGAAGGGGAGGGAGGGAAAGGAGGTGAGAAGTCAGGGACTGTGAAGAGCCTACTCACAGTTTGCAAGGCTGTAGCCTTCAAAGTAATCCAGGCCTCCTTTGAGGAGCTTTTTTGCCACCGTGCAACGCCCCAAGATGTGAGCACCACTCGGAATTACCAGGCAGCTGATGAGGGAGAGAAGGACAGATGCCTTCATCTTCTCCAGGCTCCTGGCTGGTCAGGGCAACAGTGGCCAAGTGAATGGGTTGAGTCAGATCACGGGGACACTGGTCCTATGAAGGAAAGGGAAGGGGCGTCGCAGGGGCAGGTGTGTGTACTTCAGTGTGGTCACAAAAAATGGGAGTCTTAACTGGCTTAACCATGATGCTTCTCTCCATCCTAATTCTCTGCTTCATGTACCTGCAAGCCTGGAATACCTGAGACCCTGCCCCTTCTCCTCTTTTTGATCTCTTTTTTTTTAAGAAAATTGCACTCTTAAATGTCCCTTTGCCCCAGTTCTTTTCTTCTAGCAAAACCTACTGGCTGCTTTTTGGTTTGTATTTTACTCGTTTTGCTTCAACATTAGATGTAGAGACTCAAGTCCTTTATTCCCCTTTATTATAAAAGTAGACTTTGTTCATTAAATACACTTTGGAAAACAGAAAAAGAGAAAGAAGAAAAAAAATGCATCATGGTCCCACCACTCGAGCACAACCTCGACTATCCTGTGGAATTATTTCAATACCTGCCTCTTATGCCGGAATAGAGTCCATGTTGTGTTCTTACCCTTGACATAGTCTTTTCCCCAGATTTTTAACAAACCAAACTTCACTGAGCTTTTCTCTTGCTGTCCACACAAGGAGACAAGCCCAGGTACAGCCAGATCTGCTGCTCAGCAGCCAGACAACAGTAGACAAGTCACTTAATCTCACAGTACCTCTGCTTCCTCATCTTTAAAAAGGGTGTTCCATACAGGGTGCTCAGAGAATTAACTTCATTTCTGCTGCCTCCACCTAAATCCACCACCTTCTTACTGCCAGCTGAGTCACAGCCCTGCCTTCTTGTCTCCACACCCCCCAGCCAACTCATGCAGATGGTGTGTTCTACCACTACTGAAGAATGTCCCCAAAGCAAGTACAACATGTCACTTTGAGAACACTGCTAGTCCCCTATTTCTTACCACAGCAAACCCACACTTGGCTTTCCAAGCCCTCCATAATCTGGCTTTACCCCGCCAGTCTCCATCAGGAGGAACTGATTCAGTCAACTCAGAATTCTCTTGGTGTTCCCTCTCTGGACCTGTGCACCTCCCCACACCTCTCCCTCAGTGCCCATGTGCCTGCTAAATCTTATCTTGGTGCCCTCATGTGTGGTTCTTCTCCATCCATAGGAAGCTACCATGCCTCTCCTCATCCAAATGTTGCTCCATCCAAGCCTCCACCCTAGGTGCCAACTCCCTGAAGCCTGAAGGATCCTCCAGGAAAGTTCAATTTTCCCTCTTAGCCCCTATTGCCCTTAGAGTCTCTTCCATGACACCGTTGTGCTAGCTCTATTTCTCAGACTAGAATGTGCAACCAGAAATTAGGATGCACCTTCTTCCTGGAATTGTCCACAACCCCTAACACTCCATCAATAGATATCAACTGGACAATTGATTGCACCATTCACAGGTTTATGCATATCCTCCAGGCTATATTTATCACACCAGGGAGTCTCAACCTTGGCACCTGGGCTGGAAAATTCTTTGTTCTGGGAACCATCCCATGCATTGGAATTGTTTAGGAATACATCTGACTACTAGATGCCAGTAGCTCTGACCCTCAGTTGTAACCAATATGTCCCCTGGGGGACAAAACTGTCCTCTGTTGAGAACCAATGGCCTAGACAAAACATCAAACCTGGGCAAAAGTTAGAAATTGGTATATCCATAAATGTAGAAGAATCGCATTTTCAAACATTTGCTTAAATCTTGATCTGTGTGATTAGTTGTAGACATGACCTTTATATCAAATACAGCATCTAGGAGAGCCTCACATTTAATAGCTCAGACTTGGGAATCAGATCGCCTGGGTCTGAATCCCAGCTTTACCTCTCAGTGGGTGAAATATCAGTGATCGCAGTAGTGATCTAAGGCAAGTCACTCAACCTCTCTGTACCTCAGGTTCCTCATCAATAGCAGAGATTAAAATAATACTTAACTTATTGCGTTGGTTTGAAGAGTTAACTATACAAAGCACCAGATGCCCTGTGGACACTCACTTTTCCAAGCACCCCATGCCCTTAGCTTAATAACCGGATCTTAGTGCATGTTTTTATTTCTCAACAGAGTCAACAATATGCTCAGGCAATGTCTGTCTCCCAAAGGGCAGGCCCCATCTCAACTCATAAAAGGCATGCTGAGTCCTCTCCCTTTCCCTCTTCTCTTGTAACTGGTTCATCAGGGCATGCTGAGTGCTGCTCTTCCAGAACCTACCCACCTCACTTTCCCTTCTGCCATTGTCCAGTCCAGACCACCATCATCTCTGACTAAGGAAGAGGTTTCCTAACTATACTTCACTATACCTCTCTTTTGTTCCCATAAACCCCTTCTTCAGATAGCAGCTAGCAAGGCCTTTCTAAAAACATATATCCAGTCACATCACTCACCTCCAGTGGAGTCCCCATGCACTTTGAATAAGATCCCAACTCCAGGGCAACCCCTTCGGGTCCCCTCCCACTGTGGGAACTTTTCTAACCTCTCAATAAATCCTGCTTTAAAAAAAAAAAAGATCCCAACTCCTCAACCTGGCAAGACCCTTCCTGATGTAACCACTGAGCCCCTCTCCAGTCTGATTCTACATCACTCTCTCCTCTGCCCACCTGCATTCCACTACAGTCATCTTACACATTTCTTTTCCTTGAACATGCCAATCTCATTCCTACCACAGGTCCTTTGCACCAGCCAGCCATTCCTTCTGCCAGGGACATGACTACCCTGACCACCACATAGCATGGTCTTTCTTGTCATGGTCTCAGCTCAAATGAGTTCACTACCCCAAAGAAGCTTTCTTGATCACTGCCCCATTGCAAAAGATGATTTGTGTTTTCTTCATAATATGTCAATTTAGCAATTCCCTTGTTCATTTAGCTGTTCACTTGATTTTTTTCCCTCTCCAGTGCCAGAGTGTAAGCAGCAGGAAAGCAGAAACCCGGTCTGTTTTGTTCTCTGATTTATTCCCAGAACTTAGAACAGAACCTGGTGTGTAGTGGGTGTTCATGAATCTTTGCTGAATGAACAAAAACCTATTCTTCCTAACAAAACTGCCATCAGATGAGCAGTAAGTGAATTTGCTGATGAGCACCTTCTGCAGCTGGGTCCCAGTTCCTGCCCACCACATACCCACTTACCAGTCCACCAGTCCTTCCAAAGGCCCTTGGTGCCTTCCTGAGGGGAGGGGAAGAATAGCCACCGTAGCAGCTTCGACGTCTGTGGTGGGAAAGTTGCTCCACCTACACTTTGTTCCCTGGATTTTTCAGACACTGCTTCCTCAATAGCCTGTTTGCCTGCACCCAAGAGTCCTTCACCATGACCTGCTCTTCCAGAATCTTTTCTATGACATCAGTTGCTACGCACCAGAATATTCTGAAAAAGGGAGGGGTCTGTCACCATCACATTTAAATTAGGTTCCCTAGTGTTGCTGAAACAAATTACCACAAATCTAGTGGCTTAAATAACACAATGTATTATCTTAAAGTTCTCTTAACTCAGAAGTCGGAAATTGGTTTCACAGGGCTAAAATCAAGGTGTCAGCAGGGCTGTGCTCCTTTCTGGAGGCTCTAGAAGAGGATTCATTCCCTTTCCCATTTAGGTTCTTGGCAAAATAAAGCTTCTTGCAATTCCTTTTTCCTTGCTAGTTGTCGACTGAGGGCCATTTCCAGCTATGAGGGCTGTCTGCATTTCCTGGCTCAGTCCCCCTTACTCTGTCTTCAGTGCCAGGAAGGGTAGGCAAATCCTCACACACTTTGAATTTCTCCTGCCTCTTCTTCTGTCATTGTATCTTTCTGACCCACTTTTCTTCTTTTCCTTTCACTTCTAAGAACTCATGATTAGATTGGTCCACCCAGACAACCCAGGACAATCTCCCCATCTCAAAGTCCTTAACCTTAATCACATATGAAAAGCCCTATTTGCCATGGAAATGAACATATTCAGAGGTTCCAAGGACTAGGACAGAGACACATTTGGGGTATGAGAATTCTGCCTACCACAGCAATCATCCAGGTCCCCATAGGACCACCTTCTAGGTGGAGCAGTGGGAGAAGCCCTCATTTAGTTCCTTGCTCATCATGGGGCCTTGGTCAGGGGACTTCCTCTCGTGGGGTCTGGGCAGCCTCATTTGTGGCTTGAGGACATCAGATTGGGTTATCTTTGGGATCCCTTTTAGCTCCAAAAATTAAGAGACATTGAGATGACTGAGGGTAAATTGCCTTTTGAGGACATGGTAGTCCTTCTGGCTGACTCAGTTAGGACTGATAATTCATTGATTAATTAAAAATGATAGTGTGAAGAATCATAAAAAAGTAAAATCAGGCCATAAACCTGGAACCTTAAACCCATATATGCCTATTTGCTCAATAATCTTTAGTGTTGGCCTTTTCTTAGACTAGAGCATTGCCTAAGACTTTTTGTGTAAGCCATGCTGTACTATATTCCATTTCTAGTTTCTGTAACTTTAAAGTGAAGCAAGGTGGGATACTCAGGCAAAAGATTACCATGAGGAATAGAAAATGAAGCTGGTTGCACAGCAGGAAGAGCTGAGTCCTGGTGACATCACTTGACCTCTGGATCAGGTTATACCTGAAGTCAGCCCTACCTTGGGACTTCTGTGTTCCTCTTTGTTTCAGCCAGTTTGAGTTATGTCTTAAAGAGCTCTGACCCACTCACTCTTTGGGAAAAGCCCCAGATGCCTGAGTTGGCCAGTAGTAGAGCCATGAGGACTATCCTTTCCATCCCAATTCTCATGGAAGACAAGGATCTTCTCTGTTTATCTTTGAGGACTAAGCCTGACCCTTTTTTTTTCCTTATCCGAATTCCTAACTAAGAGACTTGAGAAGTCACACCTCATATGGACTCGCCAGATGCCAGATGGGATTTTATTATCCTATTACTCTATACAAGGGGGACCCAAAAAACCCGGAATTATCTTTTGGACGTTGGGTCCCTTGTGGTACACTTGGAATTT